AAGTTGCACCATGATATTTTTTGGCTATGCTTCTATATAAAGATAATATAGAATAAGTCACTAATTTAAATATAAACTTTCATTTTGTTACTGATAGTGAAGTCCTTACTTATATTGCACGTGCATTTCCGCGGCGATTTAACTTTTCACCTCCTTCACCTTCCTTTCAATGCTACACTCTCTTCTTATCTTAGTTTTGATCAAATTAATCTTTTATCCCAAGGAAGTTTATTCGGTAGATAAAGGAAATTTTAAATCCTGTCATGACAGTTCGTACGTCTGGTTTTTTGAAACGCCGTTTATTTTTATAGATTTTGCTACCGCCAACGCCAGTTCGTACCCGGTTCCCAGGCTTATTATTTAGACTCATCGACCATACTTGTTAATGATACGAAGATCGCAGGGACTATTCACAATCATGTAAACGAGCAAAAGCTATCATTTGAACTTTGTGCCTATCAGTACTCTACTTTCCGAATCACCATTGACAAAATTTTCGAAGGCTCCTCTGCATACAAGATTCCACCTGGGGATGTTGTCAATGCTGAATTGCCTGAACATAAAATTATTTCGGATATACAAGGCAATGTGATTCTCGTTCATGCCAAAATCGGCGATCTTGCTGCCATCTATATGAATCCTTTCAAAGTTGAGTTTTTTAAAGAAGGAAAGCTCGTTACTATTTTTAACGGCAGAGGACTTTTGAACTTTGAAGGCGATTTGCAGTATAGCCTGGATCGCACTGATGGGCTTACTTCAAATTTTTCAAATTCGATGGAATCATTAAAGCCAGAAATATCATCCGAATCAAACATGACCCATCAGAATGCCGAACACTCTTGGTCAGAAAATTTTAAGACTCATGTAGATTCTAGACCTTATGGGCCATCCTCCCTCAGTTTAGACATCGATTTTAACGGCTTTGAGTTCGTGTATGGCATTCCTGAGCATGCTGATGGTTTTGTTCTAAAAAATACGGATAATACAGATCCTTATCGCCTTTACAATCTTGACGTATTCGAATATGAGCTTAATAACCCTATGGCACTTTACGGTTCTGTTCCACTTATGTGGGCCCACCGAAAGAATATGACTGTCGGCCTTTTATGGCATAATCCTTCAGAGACTTGGATAGACATTAAATCTAATAGGCAAACAGGCAGCGGAATATTTGGCAGCATCTCAAATATCCTGTCTGCTAGATCAGAAATTCCTTCAGTGAAGACACGATGGATGTCTGAATCTGGCGTAGTGGATGTCTTTTTAATTATCGAAAGCAATCCATCT